CACAAGAGAACCATGCTCCCAAAGCTAGGAAACGCGTCAACATGATAATGGGAGCCATCGAGGCTTGCAGCTACTCAGTTCCAGCTAGCGCGCCCAAAGCCCCACAAGATCCACCGAAAAGGACGCCTTTGGTATTTACCGAAGCCGACACAATCAGGTTGCATAAACCGCATAACGACGCCCTCGTCGTCGAACTACTTCTTGACGACGTCGAAGTTAGCTGCATTCTGGTCAACATCATCTTCAAGGAAGCACTTGATCAGCTCGATTTAACGTCCGATAGGATTGAGCCTTTTATTGAGCCACTTACAGGTTTCGATGGAGAACGCTGCATGACGGTCAGCATGGTCAACATCCCGATCTACCTTGGCGGAGTCGCGAAGATTATCCAGTTCCTTATCCTCGACAAACCGGCGATCTACAACGCTATTCTCGGTACGCCTTGGTTACACGCGATGAAAGCGGTCGCCTTGACGTACCATCAATGCCTGAAGTTCCCGACTCCCGACGGTGTTTAAACTCTCCAAGAAAACCATGCCGTCGCTCGATCATGCTACATAAACGAGTGCAGACTTAATTCGGCCAACCAAGCTTGTGTCATTAGTTCGTTAGGACCAACAGACAAGCTCGTCGTCCAGCAGACAAAACCTAAGCAGGAATCGATCGTTCAAGTTTGTATCGACGAACTAAGGCCTGAGCGTCAAGTCGGAATCGGCGCCGAGCTCGATCCAATCATCCGCGAGCCACTCATTCACTTTCTGAAACAGCACTCGTCAACCTTCGCTTGGTCAGTAGAAGATATGCCCGGGATTGATCCACAGATCGCGTGTCATGAGCTCAACATCGATCCGACGTATAAGCCAATCAAGCAGAAACGCCGGAAGCTCGGACCAGAGAAGGCACAGGCCGTGAACGATGAGGTCGAGCGGTTGCTCAAAGCCGGATCCATTACTGAAGTCAAATATCCTGATTGGCAAGCAAATCCCGTAGTCGTTAAGAAAAAGAACGGAAATGGAGGATTTGCGTCGACTTTACCGATCTCAATAAAGCATGTCCGAAAAGATAGCTTTCCCTTGCCTCATATCGACCGCCTCGTGGAAGCAACTGCCGGGAACGAGCTACTCTCATTTATGGACGCATTCTCCGGGTATAATCAGATTCTTATGCATCCGCAAGATCGAGAAAAGACGTCGTTCATCACGGACCGAGCCATATACTGCTATAAAGTCATGCCTTTTGCCTGAAGAATGCCGGAGCAACATACCAACGGCTGGTGAATCGGATGTTCGCAAGCCAGCTCAGGCGGACTATGGAAGTTTACATTGATGATATGCTCGTGAAATCATTCGTCGCTTCCGATCACGTCGGTCATCTTCGCACGTGCTTCGATATTTTGGACCAGTATGGCATGAAGCTTAATCCCACTAAGTGTACGTTCGGCGTAACATCTGGAGAGTTCCTCGGCTACATAGTCACACGGCGAGGCATTGAAGCTAATCCAAAACAGATTGCAGCCATACTCGAGCTCCCATCTCCAACGATCAAACGCGAAGTTCAGCGATTGACCGGACGCATCGCAGCGCTTAATCGGTTCATATCTAGATCGACAGACAAGTGCTTACCTTTCTACCAACTTCTTCGCGGTAACAAACATCTCGAATGGAATGAAAGGTGCGAAGAAGCTTTTGCCGAGCTAAAGAAATACTTGTCTACACCGCCAGTCTTATCCAAACCCAAAACCGGCGAGACACTTTATCTCTACATCGCGATTTCGGAGTTCGCGGTCAGCAGTGTTCTTGTTCGAGAGGATCGTGGCGAGCAGAAGCCAATCTTCTACACAAGTAAATCCCTCGATGGGTCAGAGTATCGTTACCAGACTTTGGAGAAATTCGCCTTTGCCGTGGTTATCTCCGCGAGGAAGCTACGCCCGTATTTCCATTCTCACTCGATCGTTGTCCTAACCGACTACCCTCTTCGCACCTTCCTCCATAGCCTAAGTCAATCCGGACGGCTCGCCAAGTGGGCCATTGAACTTAGCGAATATGACATCGAATACCGAGGAAGAACTGCAACAAAATCTCAAGTCCTAGCGGATTTCTTGGTCGAACTCCCACCTGAGCTCGTCGAAGCTAATCCAGTCATACAACCTTGGATTCTCCACACCGATGGTTCCTCATCCCATAAAGGATCCGGCGTCGGGATTCGCCTCAAATCCCCCGAAGGAGAGGTCATCGAACAGTCATTCCGCCTCGGCTTCCCGACGTCCAACAACGAAGCCGAGTATGAAGCATTGATCGCCGGACTACGACTTGCCAAAGGTATCGGCGCCGAGCACGTACACGCTTACTGCAATTCTCAACTTGTGGCTAATCAATTTCACGGCGAATACGAGGCCAAGAATGACCGCATGGACGCGTACCTCAAAGTCCTTAAGGATGTTGCTTCGGAGTTCTCAACCTTCGAACTTACAAAGATACCTCGCAATGAGAATGCAACCGCCGACGCCTTAGCCGCTCTCGCGACTAATTCTGATCCCGATCTTCGGCGAACTATCCCAATCGCGGCAATTGAACGACCAACAATCGAGCCTGCCCCGAACTGCAACATCATTACACGACGACGTTATTATGAAGCCCAGCCCAATCTCGCTCTACCCCTCACCCGGAGGACGAAACCCAGAGAAGTCGTCACCGATCTCGACAGCAACACGGACGAACAACCTGATAATAATTCCGATCTCGAGGACGAGTCCGAGGGTCAACACGTTCCAATCGATATCGAGCCCGAAGGTGAAGATGAGCCTGAAGATTGGACCTTAGAAATTGTGGGCTACATTGGAGATGGAACGGTCCCCGCAGACAAATGGGCAGCTCAACGTCTTAAGGCTCGAGCAGCTCGATATGTGGTTATCAAGGGCACTCTCCTCAGATGGGATGCGTCCGGTGTACTGTTGACTTGTGTTCATGGCAACGACATCATGGAAGTAATGCAGAAAATTCATGAAGGAGAAGGAGGGAATCACTCCGGAGCTCGATCTTTGGCGTTCAAGATCAAAAAAGCTGGCTACTATTGGCCTACTATGCTGTCTGACTGCGAAAAGTATACAGCACGCTGCGAGAAGTGCCAACGACACGGCCCAATGATCAACCTTCCTACCGAGCTCTTGATGACCTCGACCGCACCATATCCTTTCATGCGCTGGGAAATGGACATCATCGGTCCTTTTCGCCGATCTACGACTCAGAAGCAATACGTTCTCGTCGTCACGGACTACTTCACCAAATGGGTCGAAGCTGAGGCATACCCCAAGATCCACGGAATCGATGTCAAGAAGTTCCTCTGGAAGTTCATCATCTGCCGACACGGAGTCCCATACGAGATCGTTACGGACAACGGAACCCAATTCACTTCGATAATTTTCACAGATTTTTGCGCCAAGTGGAAAATCCGACTGAGTTTCTCTACCCCGCGGTATCCGCAAGGAAACGGGCAAGCCGAAGCCACCAACAAAACCATTATTGATGGTCTAAAGAAACGCCTCGATACCGCTAAGGGAACTTGGGCGGACGAACTCGATGGCGTCCTGTGGTCTCACCGAACTACACCACGACGTTCGACCGGTCAGTCACCATTCTTCCTTGCATACGGTACAGAAGCTGTGTCCAGCCGAACTCAACGTCCCAAGTATTCGCCGAACTATGCTCAGCCAGCAACCCGACGCGAATAACGATATGATGCTCGACACAATCGACTTAGTCGAAGAACATCGCGAACGAGCACTACTCCGGATACAAAACTACCAACAACTGGCAGCTCGTTATTACAACAAGAAGGTTAAAGACCGTCACTTCGAAGATGGCGATCTCGTACTTCGAAAGGTCTATCAAAACACTGAAGAAAAGAACGCAGGAAAACTCGGTGCAAACTGGGAAGGCCCATACCAAGTGATGAAGGTTGTTAAGCCCGACGTTTATCAACTCATGAAGCTAGACGGAACTCCAATCCCGCGATCTTGGAACTCAATACATCTCAAACGATACTACTACTAGTTCGTCAAAAAAAAAAAAAGCCTCCGAACTACTTAGTCGGAGCAAAAAACACTTTTGTACTTAGAACTACGAATGGCTTGATCCCTTTGAAGGGTACGTAGGCAGCTCGTTACCGAGTCCAGCTATAACATCAATAAAATTTTATTAAGTCAAAAACGTCCAAGTCCTAGTTCGGAAATCACAAGATACCGAACTCCTTGTTCTTACATCGACTTCCTGGCCAGTTGTTCGATAGCATTCCACATGAATGCAAACTTAAAAGCCGAGATCCGTCTCGCGAGCACCCACATGGTGTCGTGGTAAAGCCACATATCAAAAGCCGGGCCCAGTCCCGCAGTTGAATTTCTAAGTCACCGAGAACAATAAGCCGAGCACATCTCGCATACTTAGGTTCGACTTAGAAAAACCTTGAACTCGTTTCGTGCGTTTACAGAAGTTCGAATCAATTCACTCTTCCAGTACAAAACGATTCACTTGGGTTCCCCAGGCCGAGCTGAAATGCTCGCACAATAAGCCGAACTCCTCAGATTCGCACCGTAAGCCGAGTTCACAACACTCGCAAAACGTAAGCCGAATTATCGCAATTTGCTATTGAAAGATAAAAATTATGTTCGAACATCATCTACTGTGTACCGATCTAGTACTTGAAAGATTTTTCTAAGTTACCGACGAAAATAAAGTCAAAATTCAAGTTAGATGCCGATCTACTACTTGAAAGATTTTTCTAAATTATCAAGACAAAAAAGGAGAAGATAAACGAGCATATAATTAAAAGCCTCCCGAGAGGCAAAATAAGTTCAGAAACCCACCGAGGGTTCAGAAATATTACATTCAAAATAACCCGAAAGGGGGAATAAGTTCGAGTCAAAAGAGAAGAAGGAAAAAATAAAACTAGGCAGTCTTTGAAGTAGCAGCTTGATCGGCGTTAAGCATATCTTCATTAGAACCGAACTAATCGCCAATCACCGGGTCGTGAGCACTCTGAGTTACGTTCACAGCCGGCGTGTCTTCTTCCTCCAAAAACGGGGACATTCGCTTGTCCTCTTCAGTAAGGACGCAAGCATCGACCGAACGGAACTCCTCCAGGGCCTTGGCGTGCTTCGCCTCGATGTCCGCTACCATCTCGGGTGGAACCTCGTACAAGCCCTTCTTCTTGAGCTGCTTGATGAACCCGAGGACTCCGGTGAGTTGATTAACCACCAGGTACGGCTTACGAGCCCGATCAGCGTCATCCAAGCTTCAGATGACCTTCTCTAGACGTTCACAGGCTTGTGCGTGAACGCTTTTGGCTCGACCCTTCCAGTAGGACACCAAGTCCCGCAGCCGCTCTCGGTCTTTCTCGAACTCCTTCGCGAGCATGCTCTGAGCCTCAGTGAGCTCGGCCTTCACCGCTTTCAACTCCGCACTCTCTTGTTTCAGCAGGTCAACCGAAGAGTGCAAAGTATCATTGATCTGGAGCTCGGTGGCGAGACGCTCCTCTGCGTTGGCTATTCGTTCCTCAAGCTCGGTGACCCTAACTTGCTCATCGAAGAGATCTACCTCGTATGCGGCGACCAAGTTATTGGTCTGACTGGCGAGCTGCATAGAGGAAGCAAGAATTAGAACTCGTACTTGAAAAATATTCAAGTCTATAAAAAATTAAGTAAGAAGAATACCACTGCAGTTGTACGTGCGATTCCCTTGTACATGTTAGGGAACCGGAGCTCGGGGACCGACGGGAGGCTCGGGACCTGAGAAGAGATCTTCTGGTAGAGCTCGGCGCAGGCGTCAACGTTCTCCTCGAAAGGAGTCTATTCATCGTAGTCAAAACAGACTCTAACCCTTTTAGCCGGCTCGGGCTCTGGAGAACCTTCGGCGTGTTCTCTAGCCTGTCTCTTCCGAGAATGAGAAGCCTCAGCTCGATCCTGAGATCGAGCAAGGTCTGACGCCACAGCTGTTGGCGGCTCGAGCTCGGCAGGCGCGTCCTGTGCCCGAGAGGAGTCTTCAGTCCTCTTACTCTTCTTCGAGGACTTCTTCTTCTTCAACTTCTTCTGACCAGCTTGGTCAGGTGAGTTCGCAGCGGCCGGCAATTCTTGAGGCTGCTCATTGGTCCCTTCGGTAGCAGGGATAGGAGTCGGTTCTGCAATATTTGGCTCCTCTTCATCAAAGAGAGTGGGGATCTCGTCTAGAGAGAGCATCCTAGCAGCTCGGGTACGTTGAGCTCGCGACTTCGGTGCTTTGCGTCTGGGAGCGGCTCGAGGCTTGCTAGTTCGAGCTTTTGGCTTTCGCGGTTTCGGGTCTCGAACAGAACCTGCAATGAAAATATGTCAAGGAGGAATTCGGAGTAAATTCAGAATAAAACAAGTAAGACTGAATTCAGTAATCGAACCTGCTTTCTTAGCCCGGCGCTGAAGGATCTCTTCCCAAACTTCGGGCTAACGACGCTTACCGGCTTCACTGAAGGCTTCTTCGAACTCAGAAGTAAGCCCGGGATTGAGAAGAAGACTTGGGAGATGACGACCTGCAAAATTAAATCGACAGAAAGTTAGTAAGAAATAAAACCAAGGGATAACAATGTACGAGCTCATCTAGATCTACCGATCGGAATCTTCCACTCCGATTGAGTCGGGATGTCAGAGTTACTGACTGTGAGATCGTTCATCTCAAGGAGGAAGTATAGGGATTCCCAGTCGTTGAATTTACTGGGTTTAGGACCAGTGACTATATTCTTCTTCGGCTTAGCATTCGCAGCGAAGAACCACTCCTTGGATTTGTGGATATTCACTGAGAAGAGGTCCTCGAAAAGCCGACTGGTTGGAATCTCGCCGAGCTCGTCGCAAAGAGATACGAACCCTACGTAGTTCGTTATCGAAGCCGGCATCACCTGCGTGAGAGCAACGCCACGACGATTGCAGTAGCCGAGCAGGCGAGAAGGAATTGGGAAGGAGAGTCCGCACTGCGTAAAGTACGTCAGGTAAACGCAGAGGAAACCCTCGGTGACGTCCCACGGCCGATCTCCGGCATCTGGAATTATGAAGATGACTCGGTCCGAGAGTCCGCTTTCTTCGAGCACGGCACGAACAGCACCCGGAGAGACAGAGGAAGATGGCATGTTGCTGGGACGAACAACTTTGCGCCTTGGAAGTGGTGGCGAAGCGTGAATCACAGCATCGAGGTTATCCTCGGCAGCTTCTGCCTCAGTAGCGCTCCCTTCCTGATTTTCTCCTTCAGGTTCTTCGACCTCCTCGATCTCGTGGTCAATACCACCAGAGTTCGGCCCAGCTCGAGCCTCCGTCTCGCGAGTTTCTGTCGCCAGTTGCTCGGTAGCTTCAACTCGAACCCTAGCATGGCTGCTACTCGCATCCACCGATTTAGAGTTCTTGCGAACTAACTGGGGGGGATTGCTTTCTTCCCGAGAAGAGTCAGACGAACGAGGGTGTGAAGAAGAAGAGCTCAGCTCCGAAGGCTCGCGGCGATCCTCTGGAAGGATCTGATTAGAGGAAGAATTGATTGAAGAAGAGTTCGAAGACATGTTGAGTTCGGAGAAATGGAGTCGAAAGAAGATCTGGGAAAGGTTAAGAACAGCTTGAAGATCGATCGGAAAAAGGTTGAAGTTTGATCGGAGAACTTGAAGATCGATCAGAAAGGGTTGAAGATCGACCAGAAAGTTTGAAGATCGATCGGAAAACTCAAGAAATCGCGGCGGCGAGAGTTGAAAAAACGAGAGAGAACTACAAACGAAAATTAGAGAGAGAAGCAAAATCTATAGAGAAGGGAAAGCAGCGTACCTTATATATGCTTGAACAAGAATAATGAATGCGAGAAGAAGTTTTTTCTCTTATAAACAGTGGGAATCGTGGGTTCCTCGATTTTCGCGAAATCCCGGAATTTACGCGCCTCATTGAAGACAGGGTGCGAAACGTCCGGGAATGCGAATCGATTGCAGTTGCCGATCTCATTTTGCGACTTATCTTGAATCAAATGAGTTCGACTAAAGCCGCTTCCTTTCATCGAACTGAGGGGGGGGGCTAACTGTTGGAGGTGAAAACCGCACCCCGGTTTTCTCCGGTACAAACCGAGATCGGCGTAATATAAGCCCGGTTTACGAAGGAATGTACCGGGAAGACTGGGCCGAGTAAAGTCTTGGGCCGAACGCAGCCCATTAGGCCGAGGTCAGCGAGAAGCTTCTCGAAGGAACAGAGAAGTTCCTCGAGTTCGGTCGAAGATAGGAAAGTTTCCTATTTGGAAAAGGAAACGAGCATGAAAAAAGGAAAGGAACCGAGAGAAAAGGAAAGTCCTCTCGGTCCCATATCGCCGAAGATGTGCTTGAAGACCGACTCGGAGGATATATATAAAGGGAGATGAATTGACACCAGAGAACACAAGATATTCCAGAGAAGACTTAGAGACTGAGAACTCATTACGCTAGATTTTTAGTTTCATAAAGTCTTAGTTCGTCATTATTTACTTGATAACCGAACTCACTTGTATTCGTTCGATTCGATCTAATAAAACCGAGTTTACCGATCTAAAAATACTGTTTTACCCCTTGTCGATATTCATATATCAATAATTGGTGCGCCAGGAAGGGGGCCTAAACAGAATTCTCAGTCTTAGATCGGACTTCGGATAAGATCGAATCAGCAATGACGGACAAACCAACATTCACGAGGAAGGAAACCCTCTCGGTGGAGAAAACGCTAACGCCCCAACGGAACAAGGAGGAGGAATTCCCGGGGAAAACGCCGGAACTGTAGCCGGCCAAACCCCCGCAGCCGTAGGAGGATACGGAACTGAGTTGCTGCTCCAAGTGTTCAATGCCCAATTTGAGGCCATTAACAAAAGAAGCGAGGAACGTTTCAGTCAGATGGCGGCACAAATCGCCGAGCTCAGTCAAGAACGAACTCCCCTTCGAGTTCGGAACATCATTGACGATCTTAATACTGACGGAGATCCAGCCGGAACTATGAGGTCTACCGCGGTCAGATCAGCGAATGCACCAGCATCGGATTTGAGCCGAGACGCCAAGTTCGAAGCAATGAAGGCGCAACTTCGCGACATCACTTCAAAGATACATCAAGCCACAAGCGCGGCTCCGGAAATCGAGCGCATCATTCAGGAAACACAGAAGACACCCTTCACACCGCGCGTAGCAGGGACGCCAGTCAAACACATGGAGAAGCTAAAGATAAAGGTCTATGAAGGCAATACTGACCCCCGACACTTTTTGACATCGTTCGGCATCTGCATGAACCGATACCAGTTCAAATCCGCCGAAGAGAGAGACGCAGTTCAGTGCCAACTATTTGTGGAAAGCTTAGGAGGAGTAGCTCTCGACTGGTTCTCACGACTTGAGGCCAATTCAATCGATAACTACAAGGAGTTAACGACGGCTTTCGTCAAGCACTTCTCCATTTTCATTGGACAGAGCACCAAGAACTCCGAGCTCTGGCAAATAGCCCAAGGACCAAGCGAGAGCCTTCACGATTTCATCCAGCGCTTCAAGACGATCGTCGCTAATTGTACGATTAGCGATGAAGCCGCTTATGCCTTCAGAAAGGAGCTCGGATAAAGACTAGTTTCCGGAGCGCGATCACTCATAACCCTCCACAGACGCTAGAAGACGGGCTGCACCGAGCTAATACTTACATCGCGGAAGAGGAAGAAGAAGCCGCTTATGAGCAAAGTTATTCAACAAAACAACCCGAGCGTTCGAAAGCCACAACTAATGAACCACAGTCGGGATACGGTCGAGGGTACGAAAATCGTAAGAAGTTCTACGCTAATGCGATCCAGCAACCGACCAAACAGTGGAACAACAAATGGGTCCGCGGTGAAGAAGATCAGGACGAGTCTTTGTTCTGCGAATTCCATAACCGAAGAGGACATAGCACCGAAGAGTGCAGACACCTGCGAGAATACCTACTCAGCCAATATCGAAAAGGACCAATCTCAGTTGACGATCTCCGTCGCTTGAACGCGCCCAAGAACAGTGGACAAACCTCGATTGACGATCGCCGTCGTTCAAACATACCTCGACCGAATAACGCGCAGCTCGAGAACGCAATCACTAAGGATCCACCAACTCCACCAACTTTACCGGCATTACCACTACCGCCACCGAACCCGCCTGCTTTGCCCGAACAACAGAACTCATCATAACATCTCATTCTCGTTGCACTTAGCTTCATTATTCATCACAAATCATTGTTCATTGTTCTAAGTTTCTGCATCAAAGAAAAGTCAAAAAAAAAAAAACATTAGTCCTGAATTGTTGTGTCGATTTCCAAGTTTAGGTGCATCAAGTCAGACTTTCCTTATTTGTTTCAATCACGTTTAAATTCATTCTCTTGCTAAGTTGTTAATTATTTAGACAGCACCAATTTCCTTATCTGTTTAGTTGTCATTCCAAGTTAAAAAAAAAAAAAAAAGAGAGAAAGTACATTACAAGATTTTCCATTTTTTTTTAATTTTGATCAGAACTAAGCAAATACCCTTTTCCTTTGTTTCTGTTTTGCGAGAAACAAAATTCCATAAGCAGCTATGGGAGAGGAGAGCAGCAATGCACAAGACCCTCTTCATCAACTAATAATCTCTATGAGAGACGAGATCAAGGCCTTAAGGCAAGACTTTGGAGATAGACTTAGCCGTGTGGAGCAAGCACCGAGGGTAACTCTACAGCCAACTCAACATATTTGAGGATTAGGAACCGGCCTCAACACCACTCAGAACACCGGAACCAATCCAAGGCACACCGGAGTGTGCATCAACGAACCACACATGACCGAAGACGACTCTTCTCAAGATGAAGAGCCAAACCCTAGGCGTCAAAGACACCGCAGGCAAAGGTGACGTGTGCTACAAGACGATTATGGAGATGCTGATGACGAAGAGTATACACCCTACTCTAGACAGAACCAGAACCACATCAAGCTGACGGCACCTAACTTTGCTGGAAAAGTTGATCCGGAGGCTTATCTAGATTGGGAGAAGAGGATGGATCACATCTTCGACTATTACAATCACCCTGGTCCAAAGAGAGTAGCACTAGCAGTGGCTCAGCTCACCGACGGTGCACTTACATGGTGGGACAGAGAAGTATCAGACCGAAAGAGAAGCCGCTTGAGAGCTATTGATACATGGGTCGACATGAAAGACCTAATGAGGCAAAGGTATGTCCCTCCTCATTTTTACCGAGACTTACAGCGTCGTTTTCGAACTCTTAAACAGGGAACCAGGACTGTAGAAGAATACTATGAGGAGTTTGAGCGCTTGAGGAACCGATTGGAGCTCAATGATGATGAAGAAGCTCTAATGGCGCAATTCCTTGATGGCTTACAAGAGAGGATCAGCCGCAAAGTGGAGAGACAGGTATATCAAGACTTCAAAGATCTTTTCCATTTGTCTATACAGGCAGAACAACACATCAAGAAGAAGATCACCAACACCAGAAGCAAGCCACAAACCACTTGGAACTCCAACTTCAACAAACCACTTGACAAAGGCAAGAGTGTGGAGATTGAGTCACGCTTCAAAGGCAAGGCGATTGAAACAAGCAAAGACACCAGGCTAGAGGCAGGTAAGACTAATAACTCTCAGCGTGCAAGAGATATTACTTATTTCAAATGCAGGGGAAGAGGTCATATGTCTCGCGAGTGCCCAAACAACCGAGTAATGCTCATGACCGAGGCTGGAGACTATGAGTCACATGATGAAGCTGATGTTCAAGAAGATCAAGACGATGACTATGGTGACATAGTTTATCCAGACACAGGAGAGCTCCTTGTCACTAGACGTGTACTAAGTGTAATGGTGGAGCCAGCCGAGACCATACAAAGAGAGAACATCTTTCACAGCCGTTGCACTATAAAGGGGAAGGTATGTAATCTTATTATTGATGGTGGGTCTTGTACTAATGTTGCAAGTGCTCACATGGTTGATAAGCTAGGCCTTGAGAGAACTAAGCATCCACGGCCCTATAGGCTGAGATGGCTCGATGATAAGGTAGAGCTTAAGATTACCGATCAAGTTACCATTCCATTTAGCATAGGAAAATATCAAGATCAATTTTTATGCGATGTAGTTCCTATGCAAGCTGGTCATTTGTTGTTAGGTAGGCCATGGCAATTTGATAGAGAAACTAAGCATGATGGTAGGACTAATATGTACACTCTTATGCATAATAAAAGAAAAGTTAGTCTAGCACCCCTTACACCATCTCAAGTGAATGATCTTCAAATGCAAATGCTAAAAGAAAAAGAAAGTGTTTCTAAATCAAATTTTCTTGTTCAGCCTAGTCATGTAAGAAAAGTTTTTGCTGCTAAACACACAATGCTACTAATGATCTTTAAGGAACTTTTGAGCGCAGGTTTAGGTGAACTTGAACTACCACCGGAGATCACTGATTTACTTGACAGGTTTAAAGATGTGTTCCCTGAAGAAATACCTGAAGGATTGCCACCAATTCGAGGCATAGAGCACCAAATAGACTTCATACCGGGAGCAGCTTTACCAAACAAACCGGCTTACCGA